AACAAGTCATCAGACAATTATGATACAGTTTACATACAGTGGTAAAAGTACAGAGGAGAAATACATCATCTAGTGTGGAAGCAGATGGTTTAGTCAGAAAGAGAACTGTGCTCCAGGTAGGCAGGGTTAAAAAAAAAAAAAAAAAGCAAATGTACAAAACAAAACAGAGTAAAAGAACGGATGGTGTTTCATATTATTCCAGTAACTTCCAGTAACTATCAGTAATTATGTTTGAAAGTTTTACACTAAGAGCAGTAAAATATGTCTGTACTTAGATAGTCACTAACTCAAATCAGACTACTAATTGAACATTACCACTACAAGGTACCATGAAGAATATTTCTAGGAACAAAATAAAATCCCAGTCCTCAAGGTGATTAAAATTCAACAAGGCACCTAAGAAACTTATACGAATAACTATTTTAAAGATTTTAGTTCACACATGTAAGAGAATAGAGAAAAGTAAAAATGGAAAAGCAGTTTGTGGCCAGACTGAGAAAAGTCTCTAATTCTAGTCTAAAATGTTTTTATTTGATAGGACTCAGTAACTGATTGATCGTGGGAAGTAACGGCAGAAGAAAGTCAGATTTTGCAGCTTGCGAAATATTTAGAAGAATGGTAATGCCATAAAAAGAAATGAAGTGGTCAAAGAGAGGGAACAGTTTGATGAAAATGAAAAAGAAGTGCATACTTTTGACTTTATGCATACTTTGGAATTTATGATGATGAAGACATTATTTCTCAGAAAATAAAACTAAAGAAATACGACAAATATTTCTGACATTTCAAGTCTCATTTCAAGTCTAAGTCATGTACAAAATCAAGAGATGGCAACCTCACACACACAAAACTAGGACTCAGAACACAGTTACCACAGCTATTAGATACGTATCACTTCCTCCTCTTCACAAGAAATTCACTCATTGTGAAGAATCCTTATTAGCTTCCCAATCTCCTTCACATTTGCTGATGTCCATTTTGATGGGTATCCTTAGATCCCCACATATCTCAAATTTAGTTGAATTTCTGGTATTATTTTCCACACCATTCTATCGTAGTGTTAACACAAAAGTAGACTGAAAGAATAAACACATATGAACATTCCAAAAACAAAAGATTTGCCAAACCATTTTTATAAAGCCCTCAATTTGGTCTTTGGTCTATTAAATCAGCCATTTAAATACACTATAGTCCATAAAGCCCCATGTTAGAGCTACAGCTCAGGAATGATCATAAAAATAGGGCAGGGAAGAGGCAGGACAGAGAGAAAGAAGCATTTATCTAGCACTGGCACATTTGGTATACATAAAAAAATTCACTATCCCAATTTCTTTAATATGTACGTAAAATCTAAGTATTTAATAACTTATATTGAAATGTTTTATAATCTTTTAAAAGGACACTGCTAATTTTTAAAAACTATATGTATCTTTTCTAAACTTTGAACCTAGAGCTAGCATTTGAAGACAATTCAAAGGTTTCATTGTTATGATAATAAGCCAACGGGTGGGGAGGAAGTCTTTGGCAAATCACTATCAAAGCTCACCTCCCAAAGCGAGGGGTCAAAGAAGATGATACTACCATACAGGACGGCTGTTTTCTTTTGTATAGAAGCAGCTCTGCAGCAACATTACCCACACAGCTCTGACTAAAATTAGGAATAAATTTAGACTTAGAGGTTACCATTTTTATATTTAAACATAATCTCTCAATTCAAGGGCCCCAAAACCCAGAAACCCCAATTCAATCTATTGTCTTTGTGATATGTTCTGTAATTACTTCAGCTAGTAAATAAAGTCCAACTTTATAACCGGCAGCCTAACAAGTTATATTAATTGTATGTAAGAGTGTAGAAAACTATCATCAGATTAGCACTAAAAATTTAAATATAAGGTTAAAAAAAATTGACATCCACCACACCCTCCCCAAAAACAACTCTTAGACTTGCTAAAAGATGCTGCTAAAAAGTGATTTGAAATCCTCACAGTGGAATAAAAAGGGCAGGCAGGGCCAGAGCAGCTATGATTCTATCTGATTTACAAAATAAAAATTCCCAATAAAGATTTACTATGATGGGCCCTTTACGTATACTGTTAATACACATAACAAACTAATGAGGCAAATAGTGTTACCCTTTTTTTTTTTTTAAACATAACTGTCAACAAATTTAGGAAGAATAAATAACTTGTCCTTGGTCACCGGGGTCATTTGAGTAATAACTCAAATGGGGGTGATTTGAGTAATAATTCTTTTTCTCAATTTTCCCAAGGAAAATATGGTATTCTGCATGCATGGGGAGAAGTTAGTTCTTTACATACAATGGATACCTTAGCATTAGGGCTTCCTTCCCTCAATGCTGGCTGAGAATGGCTGCTGTAAGGGAAAAGAAGCACTAAATAATAAATTACAAGCATAAAGTGGGTGTTATTATTGATAGTAAGATATAATTTGAAAAAGTGAGCACAGCTTACATCAACTTAGAATTCAGAAATAGTATGTAATTCACACATACAGTCATGAAGGTTAAGAGTATGTTAAAATGAGACCGAAAGCCTATTCCCTTGTTCAAATACTGACTCCATGTCTATCAGCATTACCCTGGCTTCTAAGATTCATCTGTAAAATGGAGACAAAGCAAACAAACAAAAAAACACCTACCTTTTAGGCTTCAAAAGGACAAAGCTAATTCTTAAAATATTTAAATTAGATGTTGTATATAGAAGACTCAGAATAGCCAAGTAGCCCTCAATATATCTTAGCTACTAGTATTATTACAAATCACTTACCTACTATTTACAAAGCACTGTGTTAGGCACCGGGGGAAACTACAATGAGTAAGATGGGAACTGTATCTCCAAAGAATTTCTGATGTAGCATGAGATATGACGTCCATGCAAACAGCCGTGACCCAGGCAGAAAGGGAAAAGTATCAGAAAGGTAAAAAACATCAAAAATAAACATCATACCCAATTTTCGAAGAATTCTTTTGCATTCATCCCTGCTGAGATCCAAAAGGGTTGGCCACACAACAGGCATTGCTGCTTCTGTTTGGTAGCCCCAAAGAGCTTGTCCTCCCTACCAGAACAAAGAACAAACCAAAAAGTCAAATTACCAAAGTACGTTCAAGGGGCCACTCACCTGGAGATCCAGCGACAGGCTAAGAAGTAAACCAAAAAGATATTAATACTTTACAATCGTTTCTCACCACCACACTTACCAACTTCTGACAAATCAAGAATTACATCATTTGAACTAGCACAGTGGAACGAGCACAGGCTTTAGAGCCAGACACCTCTATGTTTCTAGACCCAACTACATGTAAAGTTCTTTCATAGTGGCTGGCATTTAATTTAATAAATAGGTGGCACTACCAACCTTGGGCAAGTTGACTCCTGTCAGCTTCCTCACTTATGAATTATTACATGATAAAATTCGTAAAGCTCCTAGCAAGTTAAAGAAACTTAATAAGTAACTTTCTTCTCAAGTCTTAACAATGAATTTAGATCCTGTAGCTATTAAACAACCATTTACCAAAAGTTTAGCTGTCAGGAACTTACTTACAACTGGGAATCACCTAGTGTAAAGGACAAAAAGACACGGCGCTGGGGACTTACAAAGAACCTGCTTAGCACAGAATAGGGCCGCTGTATTTGTTAAATGGATAAGTGAATGGTTCACGCGACTGAGAGTAAAACGAATGAAATGAATGAGCCCACTGTCCAGCCTAGAAGTCAGACACCGAACCGAAATAACTGCTATATCCCGTTCCAGGCGCTGGGGCTGCTAACTCCAACTCCATGTCCTGAGGTGAGCCCCCCTCCCCCTATTTCCCATAGTCCTCTCAGCTCAGAACCAACCCAAGGCAAGTAGAACTGGACTGCGCGCCCCAGCCGGCAGTATGACATAAAGAAAAAGGGTGGGGAGGAGGAAGAAGGGGCAGAGCCAAAGGAATCTGCTCCCTCCACAAGCCAGTCCCCGCCTCCAGACAGGATCTCGGAGGCGGCCGGCGACTGCTCGAACCGAACACCACGTCACGGCATCCCGGCGCGTCCCCTACAGCGGACCTCACAGCGGGGCCGCAACGCATCGGAAACCCGAGCAGTAGTTGCCGAAGCCCACTCGGGGAACTGGGATCTCGTAGGATCCTTCCCCACTCAAGTGTCAAAGAGGCAACCCGCCCCGCCCCCTCTCCAAACACGCACTCTCCCGCAGCACCACAACAAGAGCAGCCCGCCCAGGCTCCTCACCCCGGCCTCACGACGCCGGTCCCAATGTCAAGCCCAAGACCCAAGCCCCTCGGGGCCAGTAGCTGTTGTCAGGGGTCCCGGCTGGCACCCTCGCCTCACTCCCTCCCCAGCGGAGAGGACAACGGAGAAAGTATAGGCGAGCGGACAGCCAGCCAAACGACCTGAACTCACCGGGAGTCTCCCAGAGCTGGACCCCCGGAGTCCCAGCACCAGGCCTGCCAGAGTCCCCCTGAGTCCACCTCGGGGAGCCCCACGATCCCGTTAGGAAACAACGGAGGATGGGGCTTGGAGCCCCAAGCCGGGCTCCGAATGCTTGGCCCGGCGTTCCTTTAGCCTGGCTGGCCTGCCAGCATTTCCCAGGACCCTGCCTGAGAGTCACCCACCTGCCCGGCCTTTCGGGGCTCATCTAAAAGGCTCCTCCGCCAAGACTAGGGGACACCAGGAATTGGGTTTGTTTGCGGTGCCTCTGAAGGGGCAAGATGGCGACAGGTAACAGGGCGCAGGCGCAGCCGCGCGCGGCCAGTCGGGAGGTGTAGTTCGCCTTTCCCGCCTTTCGAAGAACAAACACCGACAGGCCTCCATTCATCTTGTCCTTCTTTTCCTCCGCGTTATGAAAGAAAAGGACAGACATCACGGAGGGTGCTGGGAGTTGTGGTCCGAATCCAAGCGCCAGCCTCTTTCGCTCTGGGTTTGCTATCGTGAGCGCAAGGAAGGCCGGGATTGTAGTTCTCTTTGCTTCTCCTGCATACCCTCCTGTCCCTGGCTTCGCGCGCCTCTCCTGGGCTGCCGTCTCCCAACCAATCGGCTGTGCTCTCTGCTACGTGTGGCGTCACACGTAGTGGCCAAGATGGCGCCGGCGGTTCGAGCGGTGGCTTTGCTGCGACCTTTAGCGAGGTTAGGGACCATGGGAGAGCAGCTTTGCTCCTGAAGTGCCGTCGAGGATTAGGATCGAGTCTCTTCGATCCCGAGGGCAATTATTAGCGGCGTCTAGCCCCCTAGACGGCATCTCGAGAGGGAATCCACCGTGCGAGAATTGATAAAGAGGTCATCGCAGGTGTCCGTAGCCGATTTGCGGGTTACGGAGTTGCGAGTAGAGAAGGGGAAATCCGAGCGTTCTCGACCTGGGTTTCCTCCACGTGTGAAGTGGGAATGGTAGTGATATTTTGTGCTATCTCTGTCAAGGGCAAGAAGGAGAAGGAATTTATTTGAGGCCCTACGACGTGGTAGGTTCACCCTCAGCCTTTGTTCTTATTTCATCTTATTTGTAGAGAAGGTCTTGTCGCCCCTGTTTTTCAGGTGAGAAAGGGGCCCAATATATAGTTATTCGCGGCCATAAAATCGAAGCCAGTTGCCTGGTATTGAAGATTCAATGAAATCTTGTGATTGACTTCCCTCAAAAATTTAAAATTTTGTACTTTGGGTAACATCGGATCTGGTAGAAACGCTCGTCAGAAACAGTTCTTAATATGCATTCTACAATTTCGAAACATAGTTTCCTTCTTGAAAAATTGGGTTAATACTACCCTGTAGGGATCTTGTGATGCACCACATAAACGTTCTAAGTTGTGAACCACCATACTAGCATATGAGACTGTTCATGTTCTTGAATGGAACTGTGGGTTAGGAAGAGAAGGTAAATAACAGCATTTAAGTTTCCTACTACTGTTTGCCCATTCGCTAAAAATACTCTCCGAGGTCCAGGAAGATCACTGTTGTTGAAACCCAAGCCTACACCTTCAGAAAATCAGAAAGTGGAACATACTAATTACCAGGCCCTCCCTCTGTTGTCTTCCTGATCTTCCAATGCATCCAGTTGCCTAAGAACTCTTGAGAAGATAGTAATGAAATCTTCATGGAGCTTCCAAAGTGGCTCACTCACATCGGTTGGAAAGTCAGCAAGGAAAGAAGCCTCAGTTTCTCACTATGTAGACCTCCCTATAAGGCTGCTTGAGCATCTTTGGGACATAGTAGCTAGCTTGAACTAGAGCAAGTGATCCAAAAGAGTGTTACAGAAGTTATAATGTTGTAATATGTATACACAGAGAGAGAGATTTAGATATGAAATTGCTGGGTCCGTCCCACAAAGCCAGGCGGAGCAACGAGCAATGGATGGAAGGAGTACTCAGACACAGGTATGCAGCGTAAGAGCAGCTAGGGGGCTGCCGGCACTAATGGCTACATGTCATTGCACCTACTTCTCTGTAAGAGAACAGCTGCCTTCAGCTTATTCTCCCCCGAAGCTTTGCAAAACCTTCCAACCTTTGAAGAAGGTTTGTGTCCTTTGCCTGTAATTTCTCCCACTACTCTGACCGATCTCCTATATAAAATCAGATTTTATATATGTTTGTATAAATGTATATAAAACACACTCTGAAGGTGAATTTGTACAAAAGAGTAAAGCTAGAACAACTGCTGGGAATAAGTTGAAGTAATACTAGGTAGCATTTATTGAAGAACCATTATGAAAAGAACACCTTGCTTATTTAAACCTTGCAAGGTTCCTATGACTTAGTAATTATTGTTCCATTTTACATTTGATGAAACCAAGCCCTGGAGAAAAATAATTTGTCCAAATTCAAATATCCTGCTCATAGAAGTTCAGGAGTCCAAAGGCCTATCTTTTTTTTTTTCTTTTAATGTTCTGTTCCTTTTAATCTAAAGTTATAGTGTTTCCATTAATATCATTTTCTTTTTTGTAGGTTTTTAATAAATCTTATTGGGGTTTATGTACTCCATTAGACAAAAGCCTCACCAACAAACTTTGTCAAGGTCAGTCTTTATCTATCTTTGTCTCCCTGTGAGGCTGCTGTGGAGCAATAAGTTTAATATTCATAGAAATTTTATTCTTTTTCAAAAAACATCTTCAAGGCATATTCTAAGATCTTTAGAAGGACTTTTGTCTGTTTGAAGCACCACCATAAATGTGAGGTCTTTATAGAGAGCCTTATAGTCAGTCATGCCCTTGTGTTCATCTTTAAACCACATTGTCCTGATAGCACCCTAAATTTAATCTCTGCCCAGAAGCTATTTCTTTTAACATCAATTGGCATCTGGAAAAGGTGGGAATGAGAAATACTTATATTGAAAATTAGTGAGTCCTGGCTTGTTTATCCTTAATAGTTTGCTCTTTACCCTATCTCCTCTGTCATTTTATAATAGACAGTTAGAAAAAGCCAGGTGGCACTTTTAACCCTCTGCCTGGGAATCTCTTTAATAAGAACATCTAGTTCATTAGATACCTTTTCTGCTTCCATGTTATCGTTAAGTGACAATGTTGCTGAAATTTCGTCCACTACGTAATAAATATCTGCATTCCTCTATCTTCAAATAAGATTTTCCTCACTTATCTTTAAATGTTCACATACAGCCTCCTCAAGGGATATCAGGCTTCAGCTGATAAGTCTCTTTGAAGCCCTTTAGGTTTTCACTAACACTGTCTTCAAGGTTCACCCAGTCCCAAAATTACACTCTTAGGTTTTGTTATAGCATCCCACTCCTGGTACCAGAATTAGATCTGCTTATCAGTGGCTGTATAACAAATCACTATAAAACTTTCTGGCTAAAAATAGCAGGATTTATTTTTGCTCATAAACCTGCAGTTTGAGCAGGGCTTGGCAGAGACACTGGCCATTTAGGAGAATGCATATTTCAACAGAGTCAAACAAAAATTTAAATGTGACTCCAAAGCACATGCTTTTCCCACTGTAACAGAGTTTTGTTTTGTTTTGTTTTGAGACAGGGTCTTGCTCTGTCACCCAGTGTGGAGTGCAGTGGCACAATTTTGGCTCACTGCAACCTCCATCTCCCGGGTTCAAGCAATTCTCCTGCCCTAGCCTCCCACAGAGCTGGGATTACAGGCATGTGCCACCCCAGCAAGCTGATAAGTTTTGTATTTTTAGTAGAGACAGCGTTTCACCACATTGGCCAGGCTGGTCTTAAACACCTGACCTCAGGTGATCCTCCAACCTCAGCCTCCCACAGTGCTGGGATTACAGGCGTGAGCCACCACACCTGGCCGTGTCATGATATCTTTTTCTTTTTCTTTTTTTTTTTTTTTTTTGCGACAGAGTCTCCCCCTGTTGCCCAGGCTGGAATGCAGTGGCGCGATCTCAGCTCACTGCAACCCCTGTCTCTGGGTTCAAGGGATTCTCCTGCTTCGGCCTTCCAATTAGCTAGGATTACAGGTGTGCGCCACCACACCTAGCTAACTTTTTGTATCTTTAGAAGACACAGGGTTTCACCATGTTAGGCTGGTCTGGAACTCCTAACCTCATGATATGCCCACCTTGGCCTCCCAAAGTGCTGGGATTACAGGGGTGAGCCACTGCACTTGGCCCATGATATCTTTTTTAGATGGATGACTATTAAATTTATTTATTTATTTATTTATTTA